GACGCCCTTCATCACTCATACTAGAGTACTCCTCCGAGCGCGCCACCAGTCATCGCCCGTCGACTTTTCACCACCTGATCTCGTAGTCAACCTGACCCGACTAATCAGTGAAGTCTGAGACTCCATTCAGAATCCTCCGACATAGTTATTACATTAATGTACTTTGTAATACCCCATATACCATTCAAACACAAGAAAAATCATTCACATCTGCCGGATTCCGGACCATCTGTCCTCACGGCTCATTCGGGTCAATAAATAATAGTATTTGACTGATTCTGGACACCAACCCTCCGGCTCAGTCTAGCCAATACATAACATCTCATGACTAATTCTGGGCATGAGCTCTTAGAGTCAGTCTGACCCACACATGTGACAACACACTTGTTGGATCTTTAAAACTCGTTACCTTCATTCTATATTTTAAATATATATATTTTAAATATATATATATATATATATATATATATATATATATATTTTTTTTTGAAATCATTAAATTACTATTTTGCCCTTAATCTTTTCTGAAAATTTCATGTATGTCCCTAAATGACTATTTTACCCTTTGACATTTTTGAAAATCCCTTCCATGTCCCAAAAATGACTATTTTACCCTTGAACATTTTTGAAAATTTCTTCCATGTCCCTTTCTTCTTCCTCGCGTCCATTAATAGTATCAAATTTTGCAAACTTTAGCAAATTTCAAATTACTCAGTTTTAGACAACCAAACTAGTCCCAAATTCAAATTAAACATGACTTATATCTAATTTAAGTTGAAAACAATAATTTTACTATATAATTCATCCTTAATTTCAAGAATTCCAACAAAATTTCAAGTTTTGCAAAACATGAGAAATCTTCAAAATCAATCATTCTAATGTTCAGATTTCCACTCCTATTCCTTATTCACATAGTACTCAACAATTCAGTCTCATATATTGAATGAATTAAACTTCCCCTTCCCTGGTGTGGTATTTCTACCGAAGCTTTTCCACTTAATTCAAGTTTTCTTCCATTTCACCAGATCGTGCACGAGTAGAGTCTCGTTACTTGAAATTTAGACAAAAGAAGAAGGATGAGAGGGAGAACTACTTGCTGAATTTTTTCGTCTCCTCCCCCTTCTCGTACATACATACATATATATATATATATATATATATATATATATACATATACATATATATATATATATATATATATATATATATGAAAAAGATTTACTTGTTCATAAGAAAAATTTCATTATCAAAAACTTTATTACCAAGTTTTCTTTCACAATAATATTATTATAATATATAATAATAAAACATCATGCACAATAATGAATTCAACTTATACATTAAATTAACTGAAATTTTAGGTCTATAAATGTTTAAGTATGCTAAGAAAATAAAAAATAATTTAAAAAAAATAAAAATATATTTTTTAAGTTTAATTAATTAATAAAATTAATTTAATACTTAAACATAAAAATTTAATATATAAATTATAATATTTGCATATATTTAGTAAAATGATATTAATTTAATTTTTAAAATATATTTATTGCTTTAAAAAGGTTAATTTTTTGTACCTTATCCGTCAGATTGAAGTCTTTTTTTTTTAATTATCTTATTCAATTTAGATATGATTTATGTCCTAAATCCATTTATTTTTCAATTTTTTTATCAATACATTTTGATAGTTAAATAAGATTTTGAAAACCGTGTTGTTATATATAAATAATTGTCAATTATTTTATAACTGAAGTTATTTTAAATATCTTTTGTTAGACAAATAACATCTAGAGGGGATGAATAGATGCACAAATTAAAATATATGTCAAATTAAAAATTTATTTGTTAGTCAATAATTTGTTAAAGCGGAAGCAATAATATAATCAGGAAAAGAGGAAGAGATAAGGGAAAGAGGAGCACACAGAGATTTATACTGGTTCGGGTATAACCAACCCTACATCCAGTTCCCAGTCAACTCTTAACACAAGAGTGACTCCCCATTCACTATCTTTCAAATTCAGTTTACAAATTACAATCAACTCAGCAGAAGAACCAGTAAAAAGTAAACTAATTAAAAAGACAATCACCTCCTTAGAAACTCATTAAGAATGAACACCTCCCTAGAATCCCACTAGGGATGAACACCTCCTCTGAACAAATCAAAGGATGAAAAACACCTCCTTATAATCCCACTAAGGATGAACACCTCCCTAGAATCACAATAGGGATGAAGGTAATAAAAATAAGAACAGACACACCTGGGTAATGGAGACAACAAATTGTAGAAGCTTGTAGAATACCAATCTCCAAGAACAAGTGTGATTAACAATGAAAGCACAGAAGACAGTAGAGAAGAAGGTTTTCTCAAAAGGTGTAAAATATTTCTGTTGTCTTGCTCAAAAATCTTTTCTCAAAACTGATTGAATGTAAATTGTATTTTCGAATTCTGTAATTGTGTGTATTTGATTTTTCATCAAAACTTAATTAAATAGAAAAATAACATCAGAAAATGACCGTTGGACATTAATAATATCATAGAGAAAATCAGGATGTATTTAAAAACATTTATTCTTTAAAACAGATATATTTTTCAAATTTGAATTGCTATAATTGATTATATTATCAGTATAATTAATTATGATAGAGAAAAATTTCTGGTGCATCATAATTAATTATGACAGTGAAAAATATCATGTTATGAATTTTATCACACTTGTGTTTTGGAGGCTTATGCATAATATTACTTCATCAACTTGTACCTCTATATCTAGTATTCTAAGACTCTATCTAGTCTTCAAGAATCATCTTGGGCTTGCTTGAATCATCATCTTTATCAAAAACATATATTGGGCATGTAGGGAAATGTTTCGCATTGTCACCTACGTCATAAATTCAACTTGTCCTTAAATTCATCTTAAATGGTGTTGACTTGAATGTAGTTGACTTGAATCATCATCAAAATCATCTATTGGAAATGCAGGAACATTTCCATCAATCTCCCCTCATTGCTTTCATCTTTTTCATCAAGAGTATTACATTGAAATTAATTTATTTTTTTCACTTTCAATTCTTAAAATCAAATTCACTATAAAAAATAAAATAGTACAGTAAAAAATATAAACAAAATAAGTATCAAAATAATAAAACTAGAAAATTTAAAAGTTATATATATGTTAATGTTTAAATAAAAAATATAAAAATAAATAGAAAAAAAATTGAATTAAACACACACAAACTCGCATTATTATTATTATTATTTTTTCAATTTAAACATCTCAAATATTAAAATTTTTAATAGGTAGAAAATGGTATAGTTTGAAATTTCATGCTGTGATGTTTTTTTAGTGAATGGTTAACCACCGCTAATGGTTAAAAATATCCATAATGTATCATGGAGATATTTGACAATAATTGAAACATAAAAAAATTAATATGAAAAATAAGAATATAAAAATTTTCTATTTATTTGTACAACTTTTTGTGCATGATAAGGAACCACGTTTATTTACTTTTCCTCGTACATTACTTTCAACAACTCATGCGATCTTATCCTAATTAACATACGTGTTGCATAAGCTCTTAACCTACAATTAACAACCATCACAACTACTTCAATCTTCTTTCATTTCTGTATTTTTATTTTGAATTCTAATTTTCAATACAAAAATTTAGTTTATATAAAAAACACTTTAGATTTAAAATAATCTGCATTGGCATCACGTAAGGTTAGAACAAAGTTGAATTGCATTTGTACATCACATTACATCTATGATGTTATAATGATATCGTTATTTGTGCATTTTGAATTTGTTATCTTTTATTTTTTTAAGTACGTTTTAATGAATTATAAGAAAAATATACATTTAAACTATATTTTATAAATAAATCGAAATAATAATTACATAAAAATCATGATATAATATCTGATGTTAAACATAAACTACTAATTCAATTTACGAATATTTTATTATTTGTATAATTTTTTTATTAAAGACGTGGCTAAAAGCACACCAAACCAGAAACTACACCACACGACAAGAAAAGAGCAATTCCAGAAGAGTCGTTACTAATAAGACGCACCAGCGAAATTATTAAAAATTAAAAAAAGCATAACATGCAAAATGACAGAGGACACTTTTTTTTTTTTAAATAAGTAAAATATAAAAATATACTTATTTATTATACATGTTTTATGTTAATATTTTTTAGGTCTTCTTCCTAAACTAAACAATAAGAGTATTGGTTAATGGCAAATGCTGACACTTCTAAAACTGGTACCTATGCGGCCTCAAAAAAAAAAAAAGGTAATTTTTTTGGATACGATAAACCTTGATAAGGTTGTTATTGTTTTATTTTATATGAGAAACTTTAACTCGAACACAACACACAGGTATCGTAAACAAGGCCAAAACGGGGTTGTCAATAGCTATCAAGAAAGGTTCTGTACACAAGCTTGTACGTCACAAGTCATTTCTCCTTGGCTCTCAATACACCAGCATAAAGACAAACGAGGGAAAGAGATAAAAGAAAAATATTGACTGAAATGATTTTTCCCGAATGCCACAACCAATTAAATACTCCTAATTATTAATTTCTCCAGATATATATATTCTTATATTTAAATGGTGGGTCCCATTTAAACAGTTTAATTCGGCCGCCAGCTTTGTCGTCTCTTTCGCCTCCGTCCATCCCCGTCGTTCCTTTGCGTTTGACTCTCTTCCTCCTTCCTTCTTCCTTCCTCCTTCTCTTCCCTTTCTCTCTGTTGTGTTTCTCTCTCCACCACTCCTTCGTATCATTCTCTTCCTCTTATTCTGATCTCTTTGGGACACTGAATGGGTTTTCTTTGTTTCACATACTACTACCTCTCTTTTTTCTTCGTATAACCGACAAATCAATCCAAAGGGAGAGATACGCGTTACCCTTTACCCGTTATCTACCACCATTTTTCTTTTTCCTCTCCGAAGGTAAGACCTTTTCTCTTGCTGTGCCCGTTTTCCATTGTTATGAGGCGGTTTAAGAGGTCGGTCATCGTGACTTGAGGATCGCTGTTGCTTTTTGAGTGGATTTGGTTTTGCGTCTTTGGTGTAGAGGTAAGAGAGGGAGAACAGAGATGACTGGCAGCGATGAAGTCAACCCCAGTGAATCCAAGGTAGCATAACATCTATCTGGGCCTTTTTTTTTTTCTTTTTTAATTTTCTATTTTTATCTGCACCTGGTTGTATATGTTTTGTGTGTCTTCCTTGGTTTGTTTCATCTGATTACGTAATGAGGAGTGTTGTTGATGATGGGAAAAAAGTTTTAATCTTTGACTTCAATTGAAAGCCCAAGGACAGAAAACGTATCTCAGTCACAGAAGGTTCTCTCTCTTTTTTATTACCCTTTACGGTTTATTTAGTAGTGGTGGTACCCGAGGGATTAGGATGATGCTGTTTTTGGGGTTTTTTTTTTTTTTTTTTTTTTCTCTTGTACTTTGCATTTTATCCATGTAAGCCTCCTGTTTCTTTTTCTGGTAAGTTGGAAAAATCGTGTTTGATTTGGTGGCACGAGTTGGAAATTCTTCTCTACTCGTACCCTGTTGAAATAGTTAGTTCTGGTCTAATTTGTCAACTTTTCCTTTCGATAATTTCTTGCTTTCTATTATTAATCTCCTAATAGTGCTACATCTGATGCTTAGTTCCCGTGTATCTAATTGGAGGGTAAGAGCTATCTTAGTCCCCTGACTATCTGAATAGAGGAATCAATCAACAGTCTTTCTTAATAGTCACTACAATGTTAAATGGAACAATGTTCTAACTTCTAATAATATGTTCCATTTTTTGTAGAGTGTTGTTCCACTCAATACTTGGGTGCTTATCTCCAATTTCAAGCTTGCTTACAATCTACTAAGACGTGCCGATGGAACGTTCAATCGAGAGTTGGCAGAATTCCTGGACCGCAAGGTCCCGGCTAATGCAATTCCTGTTGATGGGGTATTTTCTTTTGATCATGTTGATCGAAACACCGGCCTCTTCAATAGGGTGTATCAATTAGCCCCTGAAAACGAGGCTAGGTGCAACATAATAGAGCTGGAGAAGCCCTTGAGCACCACAGAGATTGTTCCTGTTATAATTTTCTTCCACGGTGGAAGCTTCTGTCATTCATCTGCTAACAGTGCTATCTATGACATCTTCTGCCGTCGCCTCGTGAGCCTTTGTAAGGCTGTGGTGGTTTCTGTAAACTACAGACAATCGCCAGAGCACCGTTATCCATGTGCCTATGATGATGGCTGGGCAGCACTCAAGTGGGTTAAATCTAGGAAGTGGCTTCAGAGTGGAAAGGATTCCAAGGTTCATGTGTACTTGGCTGGGGATAGTTCTGGTGGTAATATTGCTCATCATGTGGCTGTGAGGGCTGCTGAAGAAGACATTGAAGTGCTAGGTAATATTCTTCTTCACCCACTGTTTGGTGGGGAGAGGCGAACCGAGTCAGAAAAGAAACTGGATGGGAAGTACTTTGTGAGGCTGCAAGATCGTGATTGGTATTGGAGAGCTTTTCTTCCTAAAGGGGCAGATAGAGATCATCCAGCTTGTAACCCATTTGGCCCCAACGGTAAAAATCTTGCAGGACTCAAGTTGCCAAAAAGTCTTGTTTGTGTGGCTGGTTTGGATCTTCTCCAAGATTGGCAATTGGAATATGTGGAAGGTCTCAAGAACTGTGGTCAAGATGTCAAACTTCTTTACCTTAAGGAGGCAACTATTGGTTTCTACTTCTTGCCTAATAATGATCATTTCTATAGCCTCATGGAGGAGATAAAGAACTTCGTCAATTCTAACTGTTAATATACTACTTAACCTTACTGGAATTCTATACATATAAAAACCTGACATTTCACCTGGGTAATCTTTTTTTCTATTTTTGTATCTTATCTTTCTTTCCTTTTTTCCTTTCCCTGCTTTATAGTAGTGTTGTTAGTTATATATAATTATGTAGTGTTACTCACTGTCATAACATATATTGTGGTGGACTACTACTACTTCCTGTTATCTGGTCTTACTGTTTCAAGGGTAACATCAGTCTCATCAGATTGAAGTGCCAGAGTTCATTTCATTAGTGGGGTTTGGCTGAGTCACCGGATGAAGCTTACTCTATTTAACCTTTTCAATCTCAATAAAAAGAGGGGAGATACGATATATGCTTGGGTGATGGCTTTGGTTCAGTGATGCATTTGATTTATGTTGTATTACATATTATTGAATGGGACCTGTAGCAGATCCCATCCTGTGACGAACTTTATGTTATATAAATGTTATGCTTGCTGAAGTTAGATTTTTCTTCGGGGAAGAAGCTATGAGGTTGTATTATATTGCATTCTGTTAAATTCAAGTAAAGCAGTTTCATCTTCTTGACGCCAATGTCACAAATGGTTTTTGATTTTTTGGTATTAAAAGGAATATTCTTTTTGGCTGTCAGGTTTGCTTAAAGACTCATGATACCAAGTTATTTTTGTCCTTCCTGAATAAGGATGGAAGGACTGTGGTAATTGCTGAATAAAATGTGTAGAAGAGAACATGAAAATTATGTTTGGGAGAAGCATTTGAAAGTAAGCTTTGGAGGAAGAGGGTGTGGGGTAATGAAGAAATGAACCTGTAAAATTCTCCAAGGAGATGGAGAAGATATTTAGAGACCTCAAGCATTTAATATTAGATGATGAGTGAAGAGAGGACTCTGAAGCACTACAACGTAAGACTCCGAAGCAATAGTATTAGATGAGTGATAACAATATATATGTCTGTATGATTTAAACTCATAACTTTGGTTGAGGATTTGTGCGCAGACCTGGAAGATTCGGGAGTCATGTTCATTTTCGGACCGAAGAATCTCCGCTACCAGCATATAGTCAAAGCTTCATATATTATTCAACTTTAAATATTTACCAAGTCATTGGTTATGTTTGCCCTTTTTATTTACCCTCTGCTGGTCAATTTTAAAAATGATGAAATGGGCTGATAATTTTAATTTGGTTCATTATCCAGAGTGGTCGAAGGTGAGGGTTGATTCGTTAACCCAATTAAAAAATATATTTATATATTAAAATTAAATAAAAATAATTATAATTAAAAATATTTTTTTTATTATATTATTGAAATATATAAATATATTATAATATTATAATTTAAATTATAATAATTAATCAATCGAGTTTAAATTATTGATTATAATTAATTAAACATATAAATATAGTAATTTTTTAATTTATTTTTAAAAAATAATAATTAATAAATAAAAATTTTAAAATTATTCATATAATTAATATATATTATTAAAAAAAAATATTATTATATATATATATATATATATATATATATATAATTATTTACAAGTTGATCTATTGACCTATCGATCTACCTTTTGTAGTACGGGTTGAGGGTTGAGGTCTCGTAACTCGTCTTGATTATAGTGAGTTAGACCGTCTCGTTCCGTTTTTGGCAGATTAGAAGTGAGATGAGTCAAAATAGGATGGGTTGTCTGGTTTTGCTATCCCTTCTCTCAACTTACTCAATCCAAATCTTTTTATATATTTGTGAGAATTTAAAATTAAAATTTATACAATGTTTGATATTTATTATTTTTTTCTATGAATATTAGGTTAATGGAAAAGAGGTAATAATTTAAAGGGTTATTATTTTGAAAATCTAAATTATATAAATTATTATTTTGAATTATATTTTTCTTGCATTTTTTTAGATATATTTTCTCAACTTTTACAAAACTTAAATTAAAGCACTACGATTATGAAAGAAGTAATAACCAAGCTTCTTATGATGTGAGGTAATGATCCTCCTAAATTGTTGTGAATTACATTTGTATTTATAATTTTGGTTCCTAACTTAATGATTATTAAATATACTTATTTGTATATTTACAAATTTAACTTCTCCTCTTTTTGTTTTTATTTTTACCTTTTCATATTTATTTTTTTATTTATTAGTAATATATTATTTATTCCTAACCTCAAGTTTCACTAAGATAACATCTATAAGGTTACACATTACTTAAAGAATTTGTTCCTATTAAAATTGGTGGTTTGTCATAATTTTTTTTAAGACATCTTAATCGATTAAGAGATAATATTGTATATAAATTACTATTGATTTCAAATCCTAAATGATGTAAAACCATTTGCCTTAACATGAACAATCCTCCAAGATGAGGCTAAGGGCCTAGTGTGATATGGGCCCTTACTTGCCGCAACAATATTCCAATTACTATAGTATGTAAACATCATCAAAGTCATTAGATTTGAGGTATTGTTTACTTGGAGCTCAAATTTGATTTCATCACTTGTTGTTAAAGATACTTTAGTGGGTTAAAAAAGAATATAAATCGCCATTAACTTTGACTTCAAAGCAATGTGATATTTTTAGGACATACAAGAAAAAAAAATCCATTTTAGGCTAAGAAATGGAATTACCTAAGATCCTCATTTTGTTCCCATAATCGATAGTATTGTTTAGAACTTAATTCCTAAAAGTTAATATTGTTAGGATTAATTGTTACATCTTAAGGTATTTTTTGTGTTTGGAGCTTTATGTTTTGTTACACATTTCTCTTTAAAATATGTCTTGATAGGTTAAAAGAGGATATTATTTATTAATTGACCTTGACCTTAACTTTTAAACAATGTGAAACTTTTAGGTATGTTAGAACAAACTTTCAATTAGAGCTGTCAAAACGGACAGTCCAGCTTGGTCTTGGTCTGTCCTGACCCTATATACCAAGGAAAAAAATCTAATATCCTATCCTGACCTATGTTTTAAAACACAACAAAACTTTTGGTCTAGTTTGGCCCTATATTAGACCAATGGGCTAACATGTCATTTTTGGCCTAATTAAAAATAATTATATATATATATATATATTTTTTTTTGTTTGAAAAAAATATCATTCATTTGTTTATTTAAAATTAACTCACAACCTATGCAGGCAAAATAAAATTAAATATATAAAATCATAAAAATGAGCTATTATAATTATGTAGCCTTAAAGAGTTACAAGTTGTCCATACATCGAAGTCAAACATATCTTGACATAAATATCACATAACACATCTTTTAGTTTTTTTCTTTTCAATTAAATACACGTTATAAATATATGTAATTGAAGTGTTTTAAAATATCCTACCAAAAATATTATATAACACGTTAATTAAAGTGTTTCTAGTAATTGATTTAAAATCATGATTTAAAACTTTATGTATCTTTCAAATTTCGTTGTACTCAATATAACTAAATTGAATATCATGCTTAATAATGCATCTCAGTAAATTTTAGAGTCAAATTTTCATTACTTCAACGAGCTAGTCTTATTATTCAACGTAACTCCCGCATCATGATACTTTGGAAATACACTACATTTAAGAATGTATAATCTTAAATTATTAGTCATTAAAAATAAATGTGACGACAATAATAGAGAGGTAGAAAAAAAAACAAATGAACATTATATTTAAAATTTATTATTCTTTTTAAATTACATACACACACACACACACACACACACATATATATATATATATATATATATATATCACAAAATATATTATTAAATTAATTTATTATGCTTATATTTTCTAATAAAATAATATTATTTTTATTTTATTGATAAAATAATTATTATTTTATAAAACGGATCAGTTCATAAGTCTACGAACTAGCCTGACCTAAACCTATTTAGGTCTGACCTAAATAAGTCGGACAAAAAATTATCTGATTCTATTTAGACCATAAATTTTTTGGTCTATAATGACTTATTTTTTGGGTATTTTGGGCTGATCCATCGGTTAAGCCTATTTTGACACCCATACTTTCAATTGAAAAGAATAGAAGTTTTTTGAAACCCTTCTTTTTGTCCCTCTAGATGATGATAATGTTGTGACCTCAAGTCTTACAAAAATAATATTATTAAAATTAATGATCATATTTAAGGTATTATTTGCTTTGAAGCTTACAAACTTTATCAGGAAGGATTTGTTATTAAAATATATCTTAATTGATTAAGAGGAGTAGTTTTATATACATAACCATTAGCCTCAAATCCTAATAGATTTCAAACTTTTTAACTATAAAAAACAATTAACTACATCTAAAACTTCTATGAATTGGGTCTTAGTTTAGTTGTTAAACATGCACCAATCATGTGTTGATGGATTGTTTCATAACATATCTAGCATAAAGTGTTACTTAGAAGAATTAAAAAGAAAAACATATGAACATTTTACTAACTTTGTAATAATAAAAAAAATACAATTTCTTAGTGGAAGGAAAATTCACAAGTCATTTTCTTATCCTTCAAAAATTATTATTTCATGTTATCAAACCATTGTGACTTGTTAAATGAACTATCTTTTAAAACATTTTGGTTAACTGAAAGAGATATATGGACAATAATTTTCTATCTAAAACGTCTATTTAACAAAAAGTACTTAGTAATAAACCTAAAATATAATAATACATTACAACACTCTAATTAAATATTTTTGAGTAAAATGACATTAATGTTTGAGAAGAGATTGAAGAAACAATATCTAAAATATTATAAGCTAAAATAATCAATAACATATATAGATATCTAGCATACAAAACTATCTAGACCTATTATTTCCTAGTTAAAAAAAAAGAACATACTAATCTAATTTTATAACACCTATATTCACATAAACTTTTTTTATTGACAACTTCTTAGGCGTGGTTAAAAAGGATATTTCTTGGTACATGTGACATGCATTTTTCAAAAGTTTTTCTCTAAAGATGTTTTGTATACAAACCAAGTCACCTTTCAA